TTAATATCTCATTACAGGCAGTCCCCGAGTTACACGGATCCGACTTATGTCGGATCCGCAGTTACGAACGGGGCCCTCTCCTTGGTCTCCAGCAGACCAGGGAGAGGAAGCAAAGCGGCGGAACACGCGGGCAGCGGGCAGCCCAGACGCGTCTGGACTGTCCGCTGCCCGCGTGCTCCGCGGCTTTGCTCTGCTTTGCTCTCCGTCCCCCTGGTCTGCTGGAGACCAGGGAGAGGGCCCCGTTCGTAACTGCGGATCCGACGTAAGTGGGATCCGCATAACTCGGGGACTGCCTGTAGTATCTTTTCTCTTAAAGTTAAAAAAAAGCTAGAATAAAGAGCAGCTGCTAAAAGAGATCCACCAACATTGGAACCTAAAATTTATCTCCTTCATTGTCTTAAAATCCAACTTACCTATCTACTTTTATTTCTGCTCTATCTTTCTTTGTATGGAAAATTTGGATAGGAAATAAAACATGGTGCAAAGAGTGGATATCCGCGTTGTAACAGATCTCTAATTTACTTTGTCTGTAATCCAGTTGGCCTTATTGCCTTTCCTAGATCTGGTGATCAGGAGAAATAAGGTTCTGGGCTTCCTTCTGCAATAGAAAATCAATATAGTTCTTCAGCCTGTAATTTAGAGATGTTTGCATAGAGCACTGATATTCTCTCTGCCTCTCCTTGGATCCTTAATTTGAATGAAATGACAGTGGACACTTAATTAATTTTGCAAATACTGCTATCCTACATATAGGATTGATTAATTAAATCCTTGTGAATTAATGTAGAAAGAATGTCAATCAGCCTGATGAGACACATGAAACTAGAAATGGCATGTGTTAATCCCTCTTGCCACCCATCCTCAGTATGTTGATGTTTTCCTTAGTGTCATGAGCACTGTCTGTAGTAAAACAAACCAAAAAGCTTAACTCAGGACCTTGGTGGAGACTATTCTAGGGTTGCCAGATGGTCTCCCAAAAAATAGGCAAGTTTTTCTGGAAAAGTGGCTGATTTTCTGGAAAAACTGGCCAGTCTAGACACAGCCAAATTGTGAAACTATTTTGCAGAGGATATTGTGAAGGTCAAGACTATAATAGAGTTCAAAAAGGAGCGAGATAAATTCATGGAAGATGAGCAGGTATCGTTAGGGTTGCCAGATGGTCTCCCAAAAAATACCAGACACCCGGTATTTTTTGGTCAAGCACTTCCCCCACCCCGGCTAGGCCTCTGAAGCGCCCAGAGCAGCGATTGCAGCCCTGCCTCCCAGCTGGGACTCCCCACCTGCTAGTGCTCTGGGTGCTTCAGAAGCTTTGCGGGGCCTTCAGAAGCCTTGGGGGACTCCCAGGCAGGGAGGCGGGGCCGCCATCAGTGCTGGGAGTCTGTGATTGCACAGAAGCACTGATGGACTCCCAGCCACTCTCCCCGCCCCCGCCAGGCTCCTGCGCAATCACAGGCTCCTAGCGTCGCTCGTGGTTCCGCCTTTCAGCCACTCCCCCCACCCATGCTATGCTTCCCGTCCAGTGCGCAGCTGGAAAAATAAAAGAATATTGGACTTTGCACAGGTGCTCTGGTGGCCATTCTGTCCATAGCAATCACTGCTTATTTGCGAGATAGCGTTCAGTCGGTCTGGACGCTCTCTTTTGCAAAAGCGCATCACTTTTTTGATGCACTTTTGCAGTGTGGACGCTCTCTTGTGCAAAAAGTTTTTGTGGAAGATCTCTTCCAAGAAAAGCTTCTTGCGTAAGAAGCCTGGAGTCTAGATGTAGCCTCAGTTGGTCTGGATCAGATTTGTGAGACCAAAGATATGCTCTTTCGTTTGGACTCATCTCTGACCCTGTGCCTTTTAAAAGGGAATTGCAGAAGTTGGCTCTATAGTAACTTTCTTTAAAAGAGTTAAGCAGAACTGGTGAAGTAACTCAAGCGTCTAGGATGCCAAAATAACTGCAGTTCTGCAAGGCAGTTTTCATCCAGTTTCTGCAGTGGGAACATGATTTCTGCTAGAGCTGAAGAAAACCCATTCTTAGTCCTTGGGAGGCGCTCGTACCCGAGTCTGCCCTCTGGTATAAACGAAAGAATAATGACTATGCTAGAAGCTGAGATGTAATATCTGTGTTATTAAATTAACAAAATACAATTAATTTAAAATGCTAGTGTCACCTTATACTTATGTGCAGTCTGTTACGGCTGATTATGATACTTATTAAAAATTTAAAGTGAAAAATGAAGTGCTGTTTATCTAGTTACCATTTTCACTTTTTAAATGCAAATATTACATATTCTTAATAATATATTGATGAACTGGCATTAGGGTTTGATTTTTAAGTTATTTAGTGGTGTTGCCCCTTTCTGGAATTTGAACATTGTTAACTCTTAGCCTGAATAATACCCAGATATCTGTCTAGGTATTATTCAGTGAATGCTAAACATCTTGTTTACAGTATGTGTTCAGTCTGCAAAGGGTTAAAATTAAGCTTCTTCAAGCAGAACCTTCAACTTGTACTTTGAGCAATGCTGTGATACTTATTAGTCTTGTTCAAACTTCATTTCTTGGCTCTGCAAAAGATAGGTTAAAGATTGGCTGAAACCGATTTCTTGGCCTTGGCACGTTCAGAGATCCCTAAATCAAGGTGGAGATGATGCATTCTTTTCACAGTACCTGGCCTTGAGAGAAACTAATTTATAAGCCATTTGGTTCAAATCTAATGTTATTGGTAGGACGTGTGTTACTCATGGCAAAGACAGGGTCAGTTTCGCCTCCTAACATTAAAATGAGATTGTGAGGTCCCCCTCCTCCTGGGGTCTCTAGGTAATTTGTAAGCTATTTGATGGCATGTGTAAAATAAATTGATAATATCAGTGAATATCCCCATCTTGCAAACTAATTGGTGATACTGCCGCTGACTGTCTCATGACCTAAGGACTGATTATACGTGTAGTGCAATTATAACACAACTTTTGCATCTCTGATAAACACACACATTATTCCTTCAATCTGGATTTTCTTCACTGTTTCATTCTGATTTTTGCTGCTGCTGCTATTTTTTGGCAACAAGGACAGTAACGTATTGCCCAGTGGTTTTATAAAAACATTGTTAGCTAGAAGGCTGCAAATTATTTCATTTTCCATGATCTTACTTATAGACTTTGTAATTTTTATACTTTTAGGTTGTAGGAAGAATTTTAGTGAATAAAAGTTTATGGACATACCATTGTTTTCAAAAGAATATAGGCATTTTAAGAGGAGAATTGCCAGAAGTACCTATAATGAACTCAAATTTGCTACGTATTTTTGTTTTCCAAAAAATGCATTGGGCACCAAAAAAAACCCCAAAACAAATCATAACCAACACACATCCCTGAGAAATAAGGGAATTAAGTTTCTCCCTCAAAAAGCTTACAACTTAAATTATATAAGTGAGGATAATAAATTAAAAGTTTGGGAAGGAAGGACAAAAGTTATGGTGTGATGAATCTGTTAAAAGCTGCTTTTTCTTGTATTGCCACATTTCACGGCAGAAGTGAATTAAGATGAAATTTTAATAAAAGCTAAAATAATGGAAACTGGGAACATAGTGAAGGTGCTAAGTTATTCCCAATGTTGAAGGTTTCTGTCAGAGCTAGCCTTCCATTGGAATATTGTACTACTTGCTTTCAGAGCAGATACCAGTATAGTACATGAGATTGCTCCTTCATCTGATAAATGTCTTGAAAACTATGTCAATGTGCTTGTTAAATATGGATTTCTCCAAGTACGTGGTGAATGTGGCATGCATTACAATGTGGAAATACAGAACATCTTCCCTTTTCCCTGAGAGTAAGAAGTTATGTTATAGCCTGCCTAAGCTTCCACAGTGTATTGTCTTGACCAGAACATACTGCTTCTTTAGCTTTGTGCTTTTTTTTGTCTCCCTGCCTCCTCACCAATGGGCACACTGTAGGGTTTTATGGCTTGCACGAATCTGACTTGGACAAGGTTTTTCGATTGCCTACAACCACCTTCATAGGAGGAGATGAGACTGCTCTTTCTTTACGAGAGATCATCAAGCGGCTGGAGGTCAGTGTGGTGATTTATCTTGTGTAACTGCTTTCATCCAGATGGAAGTGAGCTGCTGTTGTCTGCGTGTATGAAATTGGTCCATTCCACTAGAGCTGATAATACATTCTATACAAAAGGGAACTTACAGTGGCATTCAAGGTGATCCTAGAAGTTTCTATAATGTTAGAAGCTGTAGGGTCATCTTTCAAATGCCCCAAATAATCAGAATAATTGACAAAGTAGTGGTAAGCCATGCAACACAATACTAACATAGACCCATATCTTTTAAAGGGATCATGCTGGCAGATCACTTAGCAGGATAAGGAACCCTAAAACATTCCTTTGGGGTTTTTTTGGGTTTGTCCCACACAAACTCCTTGTAGGCCATCAGCTTTCATTCCATGTATTTCCCTAGAATGCGTTGTGAGCTCGATCCTGCAGCTTTGACATCAATGTGATTCTTTCCTGAGTAATGATGTTGGAATTGGACCCTAAACACATGACAACAAAATACAGATTGGAAATGGCTTGTATGATAGAGGTTTCCCCTCTCTCCTTGTATAGCTATATACTTCCCCCAATTGCTGATTTAATTATGCCTTATAAATTCAGTGAAACTGGAAATGTTTAATAAAAGAATGTGGGAAGAATGAGATTATTATATCCACTAATATTACAAATGAATCAGGTTAGTGCCTGATCTTGTTGGATGTTCCTGTGTATAGTACTGAATGCTGTCACCACTGGCTCTTCAGCACTTTGTAGGATAAGATTCAAAGTACATACAGGGACACATAGGGGATCCATAGTCATTTTCTACATTGCAGTCTTAGAATGTATCTTTTATATTTGCTTTGTGGCTGACCATCTTATCTGCCTGATACTTGTGTGGCAATTTTTAAAGTGCAAGGATTTAAAATATACTTACACCTCACATACTCATGGAAAAAATATGCCATAAAGGAAAAAAAAATAATTTAACTGCAGAAGTTTGGATTGATACTTACACCTCACATACTCATGGAAAAAATATGCTATAAAGGAAAAAAAAAATTTAACTGCAGAAGTTTGGATTAGCTTTGACTACATTATCACAATCAGACCCTCTTGTATATTTGGATTTGGTATTTTTCCCTTCCGGACCCCCCTCGCCATAGGAATCTCTGTGTTTGATGATGCTATTTGCTTCCTCTCTATGTGTAATATATCTTTCCAGTGAAGATTTTCTCTAAAATAAATAGTATAAATAAAATTAATACCCACCATGACAAACTGAGGAATTACTTTCAAAATATGTTGATGTTGCCATTATCAAAGATAAAACTAGGTTACTTTCTTTACCCTCCCTAGTTGGAATTTTGAACCAGATTTTTAAGAAATGACTGGTATCAAACAATTTGCATAAGTGTTTCATAAATACCTTTTCCAATGTCTTCATTGATTTCAGGTGACACTTGGAAAAAATCCCTTTGGATATATTTTTATAAGCAGTTTTCTTTTTTTTTTTAATGGAGTATCGAAAGCAATGTCTGTGATCTCTTTACAATTTTTTTGTCAGTTAAGTGAACTTCATCAATCAATTTAAGGCATGTATATTGACCTGCTTTTAAATGGTTATTACCAGTTTAGAAGAATCTTCCAGACTCTGGGTGTCTTAAATATTAGGCTTTGTGGTGAATTTTGTAGGGCTTGAGGTCAGGAAAATTTGGGATTTAGTAAAGAACTGAATTATATCCCCTAAAAAGGATGAAAACAAGCGGGGAAGGGATAACTTTTTAATACAGCGAGGTGTGCAGAAGTGATAATGGAAAGAAGTTATTTGCCTTAATTTTAAAATATCTTTCCTACTTCTCCCTCTTCATGAGCTCCCAAAGTTGTGTCTGAACTTCATGTTTTACCTCCTAGAATACATACTGTCAGCACATTGGACTGGAATTCATGTTCATCAATGATGTGGAGCAATGCCAGTGGATCCGGCACCAGTTTGAAACTCCAGGCGTCATGAAATTTACAAATGAGGAAAAACGGACATTGTTGGCTAGGCTGGTACGCTCCATGAGGTATGTTGGGTTTGGCTAGCAACATTTTGTTTTCTCTTTCTTTTTGAGGGAAGGAAGGGATTTTCTTTCTCTGGTATTCCATGGCTTTTGTGACACAGCCAATTCACTTTTTTGTGTTGTAGGTTTGGAAGAATATTTTAGTAAATCAATCCATGTAAGTAGTTCATAGTTTGTCTGAAAAGAACTCTAAAGTGCTGCTGATCCATGATACTCTGTATTTTGCCCCACTCGGGTACCACAAAACTGAAAAGCCATTGTAACTGTCCCTCAGACTTTCCTTGGTGTGAGGAGAATCCCCTGGTGGTGTGTAAAATAGATGTACTCACCTATGCCCAATACAGGGTGAGCATCTCTTGGGTATCGGTGGCATAGCCAGGTTTTTCCTGCAACCCACTGATGGTCCTCGGGGTCAGGATAATAGACATAAATTCCCAGGCTTCAAAAAGCTGTGCCAGGAGAGAACAGGATTTGGAAATGTAAATGACTTAAAACTGTGCTTATTCTCCCTCTTCTGAGCTATGCTAAAGACAGCGTTAGAACGCTGTCTGAGCCACAGATTTTTTTTTTTTTTCATTTCAGTGACCTGTATTTAACAAGTTGGAGCCCTGTCTAGTTCCCAATAGATCAAGATCCACATCTCAACAATCACTCCCATCATTGATACCCATGTTGACTGTCTCAGTCGTGGGGCCCTGCAGCATGGAGGCTGAATTATCTACTTGCATGAGGAGCAAGGCTTTCATTTCTCAGTGTTGTTGATCTGTCATCTTTGACAAACAGTGCCATCACCACAGGATAGTGACGCTGATTTAGAGTGATTAATGGAAATGTTTCTTTATTAGACTCTTTCCACCCCCACACTCCAAAAAAAGAGAGAGGCGAGGCAGTGGAATGCTTTACAAATGAAGTTGTAATAGAAAGTATTAAAGTTAGTGTCACACTGTGGTATTTGGGAGTGTTTTCCATTCTAGTGGCAGCAGTACATCATGCCTGTCCAATTTTAAATTTTAATGAAACAAAGGAATTTTACTCAGATACTTAATAGTCAGGTGAGCATGGCATTCGCGTGATGGATTATTAAACAACCTATCTGTATGACGTTTCTTCATTTATCTTCCTGACTCAGGGATTTGCATTACTTCTGCCTCTGTAAGCTGTGGAAGGACACAGTTTTGACCAACAGGAAGGAGCCAAACACCTTACCAAATTATTTTGCCTATGGAAAATATAGGGGGAAAAATATTTTAGATAAATTACTATTCCAGTCAGCTGTGGACACATTTTCTATTGGAAAAAGGATTGAAAATGCTAAATCTGTTCATGTGCAAAATCTGCTTTGTACTGCTTGGGTTTGCAGCCTTGTAGCTCAGAGAGCATTGTCACACTACGAATAATATTTTTTAAATGTTTGTTCCTTCCTGTGTTGATAATATCACCTTAGATTTTATAGTTCAGTTTTAATAATCTAACTGCTGCTTATTTGTGCTGTTGCTGCTGGTAGATTTAGAAATGGCATCGGACTCAGTTTTTCATTTTAAAAAATATATCCATTGCATATCTCTAGAGATGCGCGCACACACAATAAATACAGGCAGTGTTAGATCCTGATTCTCCAGTCTGATTCATGTGGTCATACCAGATAGTGGGATCAAGACCTTTTTAGGCAAGTCTGGCTCTTACCCTCCATGCTTCTCATGTTCAAATCCCCATGGTGTGTTTAGTTTGTTAGTCTCATAGGGAGGATGTTTAAATCTAATGAAAGCTGGTATTTTAAAATGCGCGCGCGCACACACACACACGTTGTAAAAATTTCTACTAATTTCAGGCAAAATTTAGGTTAAAGCTAATTCACTTGGCCTGAATTAGCTGTCATTGTCCCTGATTGTTTGGGGACCTGACTGGTGTAATTATTATGTGGAACTGTAGGTTACGTCTGAGATGTCAGACCCTGGGCAAGATGTCATTTTCAGAATATAAACTGGTCAGAATCTGCTCAAAGTACTAATATAGCCATAGAACACCCTTCTAGTTGTGGTAACCAAGTCCTTTGTTTCTTAAGATGTTACAGACTGTCCTTCAGGTAAGGGATGCCGATACTTCCGCACTGTCCACATATGAGCATGATGCCTTTTGAACCACCATAAAGGCTTTGGTTTTTTAAATGCTATTTTAGAGCCCAAATATAACAGGGTGAAGAACAGAGTCTGCAGGGAGACGGGGAGCAAAGCCTTGGAGCACGCCCGCAGCGGGACAGCCCAAGCGCACCTGGGCTGTCCCGCTGCGGGCGTGCTCCAAGGCTTTGCTCCCCATCTCCCTGGTCTGCTGGTCAGACCAGGGAGACGAGGAGCAAAGCCGCGGAGCATGCCCGCAGCGGGACAGCCCAAGCGCACCTGGGCTGTCCCGCTGCGGGCGTGCTCCAAGGCTTTGCTCCCCATCTCCCTGGTCTGCTGGTCAGACCAGGGAGACGAGGAGCAAAGCCGCGGAGCATGCCCGCAGCGGGACAGCCCAAGCGCACCTGGGCTGTCCCGCTGCGGGCGTGCTCCAAGGCTTTGCTCCCCATCTCCCTGGTCTGCTGGTCAGACCAGGGAGACGAGGAGCAAAGCCGCGGAGCATGCCCGCAGCGGGACAGCCCAAGCGCACCTGGGCTGTCCCGCTGCGGGCGTGCTCCAAGGCTTTGCTCCCCATCTCCCTGGTCTGCTGGGGGGTGGGGGGGGCACTAGCTGTAGCGCCTCCCCCCCCCCAGCAGACCAGGCTTTTCTTGCCTATCCCTGGGGCAGAGCAGCTGGGGTGCTGCTGGGTTGCTCCCAGCAGCACCCCAGCTGCTCTGCCCCAGGCTTCCTGGAATCAGCCGCTGATCAGTTTCAGCAGCAGCTGACTTGGGACGCCTGGGTTTCTTAAGTTGAATCTGTATGTAAGTCAGAACTGGCGTCCAGATTCAGCCACGGTTGAAACTGATCAGTTTCAACCGTGGCTGAATCTGGACGCCAGTTCTGACTTACATACAGATTCAGCTTAAGAACAAACCTACAGTTCCTATCTTGTACGTAACCCGGGGACTGCCTGTATTTCTGAAAATTCCATACTTTATTCCTGGCTCAGTCCATCTCTTCCCCAGCTCTTGCTCTGAATTCACACAAAGAACTGAAACAGGCAGGACCTGTTTTCCTGATTCAGATTTCTCACTCTCTTCACATTGGCTGTCCTGGCTCTCTGCCAAAATTTCCTGGATACCCACTTTTCAGGCAATTGAACTGAATGGTTGGGGTGTCCAGAAAAGTGGTGATAGATCCCTCCCATCTATCACCACTTGCATCAACATTCTCTGTGCCAGCAGGGAATCCGTAATCTCAGAGTGTGGGGGCTCTGCACCCCCCCATCTGTAATCAGATGCGACTCTCAGCCAGCAAGTAGAACAGAAGGTTTATTTGTTAACAGGGATTCCGCATAGATAGACTAGTTAACACAGGAACCAGAAGAAGTCAGTACAATCCATCTTGGGGAGAGGGGGCCCAGAGCCAGCACCCTGGGCCCACTCCCTGCATCCTTAGCCAGCCGAGACTAACTCTCCGCAACTGGTCCCAGCTCTGCAGGAAGCCCTACCTCCTCTTTCGTCCCACTTCCTGGGCAAAAAGGTGTCACCTGACTGCTTCTCCCACCTAGGCTCAGGTTACAAAGAGCCTGAGCTATTTTTGGGTACGTGCTAAGACAGGGCAGCCTGGAGCAGCCTTGCACTCAGTAAGAGCTGCACCCAACATTCCCATCCCCATCCCCAGACAGGCTCTAGTGCAGTGCCCAAGGAAACTGAGGCACCTGCGCGTGCACGCACACGCACATGCACACGCACAGCATTCCAACAGAACAGTATGGGACAGTAGGAATCGCACACAGTGTAACAAAGCGAACAGAGTAAATACAATCTCCACTATGTCACATCCCGGCCTTGGATTGGTATCGCTTCTGTCACCCCAATACTAAACCCCTTTGAGAACTCAGGAAGGCACACTTGGGAATTCCTTCCAGTGAGGTAACCTCAAGCTCTTTTTACCCTCCCTCTGGAGAAAGCCTGAAACCCAGCCGCTGAGATCAGCTCAAAATTGAATTAATTTATCTTAGTAGGCTGGCTGTGCAGTTTTAGACGTGTACACACAGAACCTTCCTTCTTCTAGGGCACAGGAATCAGATCACAGTTTTAAATGGGTGATTTTTTTTTTTTATGCAGAAACACCGTTCCCCCCCGCCCCCTCCCCACACTTTTGGTAAAGTGTTGCTTGGTTGCTAGGTGTTAGAGCAGCTGAACAAAGGATTAAAACCGTTGGGTGAAATTAGAGTTTTTGGCAACAGTCACTGCTGTTGAGGTTTTTAAGTTTTAGATCAGAAGAAAGAATTTGCAGCATTCTGCTTGGCGAATAAGCTGAGTATTAATGGACATTGTGACATTATCTAGCCTTGCATTACACTGATGATGTAACCACTAATGTTATTTCATGGAGATTTATTTTTCTTTGTATTCAATATCTTTAAGCTTTATAAATTACCCTTTCAGCATTTGTTAAAAGCCACTTTAACTGTGTGCAGTGCCTCTGGCCCTAACCCATTAAAAGATGGAACAACATAGAACTGTCAGTAAAGGACAGATTTTATGTGTGTAGTTAAGGATTCCTGAGGCAGAGATTCCAGTATAGTGGCTCCTGGCAAATTACCAATTCTTACATCACTTGTCTGAGGAGCTGTGCCAATCAGTGTTCCCTCTAAGATTTTTCCATCCATGAGTGGGGAGAGTGTTCCCTCTAAGATTTTCCATACATGAGTGGGGAGAGTTGTTTTTTTTTTTCTTATGCACCAATATTGACGTCATGTGCGCTTGTTCAGATGTGTGCCACTGTGGCATCTACTAGTTAGTTTTTGTGTTTGTTTTATATATTCACACTTACGCGCGTACACATACACATTTAAGTTACATAATAATTATCCCTTGTTTTAGTATTTTTTAACAAGGTGCATGATCCTGCGTGCATGCACACACCCTGAAAACCACCCAGCTTGGCACCCAGTCTCATTCCTATCCAGCCTTCCTCCCACTCTTCCTGTTTCCATTCATTTCCCCAACCCTTATGCCCCCATCCTGTGCACCCTTTACCACTAACCCTGCACTGTGCGCCCCTTGCCCCTAACTTCGGCACAGTGCACTCTTCATCCAACCCTTATACTTTCTTCTCAGCCCAATCCAGTCAAAAAGTGTAGTAATTTTTTAAGCATAAAAAAAATGCATTATCCCTCCCTGTTGACTCTAAAGCTCATTCTGCAGTTACAAATTAATGACATTCAGAAGATGAATTTAGGGATATCACCAGTATCTACATATAGCGTCTGCATGCTTTAGACTCCTGTGAATCATAGAAAAGTCCCTTTTTAATATGTTATCAACTACATATAGATTTAGCATTAATAAAAAATAATCCATCTTCATTAAGACATTTTTAGCTTCCTCTACACTCTGTGTGTGTGTGTGTGTGAGAGAGAGAGAGGTGTTGAGAGAAATAACTTCCACAGGGAGAAAAATAGTCATTGGCATAATGAACACTATTGACATGATTGATGCCTTCAAAAGTGGCAAGAATATAGAGGGTCAGAGAGAATTGTTTTCTTTTGTGTGGTTTAGGCTCTTACATAAATATGAACAGGGAGCAGAACATTTCTCTAGTCATCTGCCATCTATTTTAACCCTCAGATGACTGCAGACTTACCTTTTGAGAGCCCGAGGATGAGCCCTTTAGTGGAGCAGGATCCCTGGCACCCCACCATGTGGCCTGGCTCTGGCCCTGGCTGTTGCCCCCCACCACGTGGCTCTGGTCCTGGTCGGGGCCTCCAGAGCAGACTCCACCCACAGCTCGGCTGCAACTCTGGCCCGGCCAGTGTTGTGGAAGCAGGCGCCGCCCGCAGTCGGGGCC